TTCTCTCAGAAGACAAACTGATAGCCAATGAAGAGTCAGACTCTGAAGACAGTGCATAGGTAATGGCTTCTCTTTCACGTTCTGAACTTGAAACTTGTTTATCTGAAATTATGAAAAGATATCAACTTCTTCTAAGTAAACACAAAACCTTGAAAAAGAGTTTTGTAGTTACTTCTGAGAACTCTACTAAATATGAGAAAAACCTTTCTAATTTAAATAAAAAATTATTTATTTTAGAAAAATCAAATTTGGCTTTGAAAAGTAAAGTTTCTATATTAGAAGAGATTATCTCTAGAACATCTGTTACTGATGAATTAATCAGATATGATAGAGCTTTTAAACACTTCCTAGATAAAAGAATAGATAAAAGCAAGATGGCTTCAATGATCTATGGAGTTAGTAGAAATGAAAGTAGAGGCTTGGGATATTCAGGACCATCAAAATTAATTTATGAGACTCTGAGTGTCAAACCAAAACCTCTTTCTGAATATTTTGTGCTTGCTGGCACAAAATTGAAACGTCCAGAACAAGAAGGTTTTGATTCCAGTTTAACACAACCACAAACATAGAAGGAAACTTCTAAACCAAAATATCATGCACAAATTCCACTAAATTATCCTGCTTCACATGATTCCAAAGGGGTCAGAACCTCTGGAATTGCTAACAAGAAAGGACCTAGAAAATGGGTACCTAAGGATCAGATAATCTATGTTGCAGATGTCCTAGATGGTGCCACTGAAACACCTGTCATGGTACCTGGACAGTGGATGCTCGCGACATATGACGGGTGAAAGGCATATGTTCTAAGATTTGGAACTTAAATATGGAGGCGTTGTTGGTTTTAGAGGTAACCAGAAGGGAAATATCATTGGCTCTAGAACTATTGGTAATGGTAAACTTCCTTCTATTAACAATGTTCTTTTAGTCGAGGGTCTGATGCATAACCTATTGTCAATTAGCTAACTTAGTGACAATGGTTATGATGTAATTTTAAATCAAACCTCTTGTAAATCAGTCTTGTTAAATGGTAATAGGGAGAATAATATTTACAAAATCAGAGTATCAGATTTGAAAAAACATAATGTAAAATGTCTTCTGAATGTTCAAGAAGAGCAATGGGTCTGACACAAACGTCTGGGCCATGTTAGCTTGAGAAAAATATTTCAACTAAATAAGCTTAGATTAGTCAGAGGCTTGCCCAATATGAAGTATACATCAGATGCTCTTTGTGAAGCATGTCAGAAAGGCAAGTTTTCAAAAACCTCTTTTAAAGTAAAAAAGATTGTTTCTACCTCTAGGCCATTAAAACTTCTTCACATTTACTTACTTGGACCAGTGAAAACTGCTTCTATTAATGGTGAGAAATATGGACTTGTCATTATTGATGATTATAACAGATGGACATGGGTAAAATTCTTAAAACACAAGGATGGGTCACATTTCTTGTTTGCTTCTTTCTGCTCCTAATTTCAAAATGAAAAGAATTACAAAATTATCATTTTAGAAGCGGTCATGATGGAGAATTTGAAAACAAAGATTTTGAAAATCTTTTTGATTCTAATGGAATAATCCATGATTTCTCCTACCCTACAAATCCACAACAAAATGGGATTGTAGAGAGGAAAAATAGTACATTACAAGAAATGACCCTCACCATGATCCAAGAAACTGAAATGGCTAAGCACTTCTGGGCAGAAGCAGTAAACACTTCCTGTTACATTCAAAATAGAATCTCCATAAGACCTATTTTGAGTAAGACTCCTTATAAATTATGGAAGAATAGAAAGCCCAACATCTCTCATGTCCATCCTTTAGGATGTGTTTGTTTCATGTTGAATACTAAAGAGAATCTGAGAAAGTTTGATTCCAAAGCGCAGAAGTGTCTGGTGTTAGGATATTCTGAACACTCAAAAGGCTTCTGAGTTTATAACACAGAATCACAAATCATGGAGGAATTAATCCATGTCAGATTCAATGATAAGCTTGACTATGAAAAGTCAAAGCTGGTTGAAAAGCTTGCAGATGTGAAGATAACATTTGCATAACCAAAGGAGAAAATACAAGAAGATAAAGAATCAGAAGCTCTTACTTTTGATATCGTTGTTGTTCCTTTTGATCAACCTCAACAAAGGAAAAGAAAAATCTCATCATCTCATCCTAAAGATCTAATTCTTGGAAATAAAGATGCTCCAGTTAGAACAAGATCAACGTTCAAACCTTATGAAGAATACTAGACTCCGAGTTTAAACAAAGGTATTTTTTTCTTTCGGAACCTCTGTAATCAGAAGATGTTTCGGTTAGAAATGTCTTTGATTAGATGCAAACCTTTGGTTTTCCAGATTCTGAGGATATCAAGCGTGAAACTTAGTTAGATGTAATGATTAATGCATGTAACCCTTGGTTATACTTAATCATCACACGCTATTTAGGCTATGCAATGAGCAATGTGTGTATTTCTTGGAATTGATTAAAATTGTAATTATTACTTTCCTTTAATGATCCTAATTATTATGTTTATTTGTATTTATTTTTATTTATTTTTCTCTCACTTCTCAAACACTATAAATCACACACACTCACTTCACTTCCACACTTTAGAAACCCTAAACCATTTTTTCTCTCAACTGTTCAACAAGTTTTTTGTACTCTTCAACAAACCTCTATCATGTTCATATGTCGTCAATAATGATGACTCTAGAACAACAATTTGTTGTTAAGTTCATAAGAGAAGTAGAACAAGTTATGAATCCAACTATTTCGTCTTCATCAATTGTTGCTCCATCTTCATGAACGGTTGTTCTATCTTCATCAAACGTGGTTCCTTCATCGTCAATTGTTCCTCCGTCAACCTCATATGCTCCTTCATCTTCTACAAACCCCGTTGATGAGAATCATGTCGCTCATAAAGGTTCTCAAGGTTATTTCACCTTAAAACCAGAACAGTTGTCTGTTCTTAAGGAATTAATGGTTGATTTTGACAACCTAGTTGCAAATGGGTGTGACGTTAAGGAGGAATTAAAAGCTCAAGGCTGGGAAAACTATTTCCAAAGGCTTCATGGTCCTGTCTATGGGGCGTTAGTGAATGATTTCTGGAAAAATGATGATTGTGACGATTATCACATTGGGGCGTTAGTGAATGATTGAAAACCACAACTTTATTTAACTGAAGTCATAATACACAAATGCCTAAACTCAAATGATTCAAAAGAATATGTTGTTTCATGTACATCAATCAAACAAAGATCTAAACTCAAAATATCCAAAAGTTAGTTGTTTCATGTACATCGTTTGAACAAAGTCCTAAACTCAAAAGATCCAAAAATATGTTATTTAATGTCCATCAATCGAGTATTCAACATGGCTTTCACAGAACAAGCAATATCTTCCCAATCTACAGAAATATTGTCACAAGTTGGTGAGCCACATCTGCTTCAGAAAAAGAGAAACATTGGTGTGGACCAAAAGCTTTATCTTTCCACTTCTAATTGTAGTCCAAAGATTTTTCTCCACATCATCAATGATCAACTTCTTACTTTTAGAACTCCTATTATGCAAGTAACCCCTACACATGATCCACCAGATCATATTTGCAGTATTATTATCAAATCATGTTTTGACTTGAATTGTGCAGGAAAAATTTTACATAAAGAAAACTAAACTCTTGAAGAGAAGTATCTAACTAAAATGAGTGTAATAAAAAAGATTGTAATGATAATACCTTGTACAGTGAGACGCTTGGTAACTTAGACAATTGAGTGTTGATGTTTTGTGCAACTTTTAATGGCTATATCCAAGTTGTGTTTTTATTTAACTGCTGGCAGATTATGCTGATTGGGTTTGAGATAAAAAAACTAGCTTCTAATTTGGGCATAATATTATTTATAAATACTTTTTATATGTATCAAATAAATTATTCTCTACGGATACACAAATATATTTTATACTATATCAAATAAATCGGTTTATAACCAACAGTTTAGCGTAATGAATGTTCTTAGAGGCACAAATCGACAAGTAGATGTGAAGTGTATCTATGGAATAACATTTGTAGACTCTTTATCGTAATGAAAGTTCTTGGAGGCATAGACTGACAAGTAGATGTGAAGCGTATCCATGTGATGACATCTGTAGACTATTTATCATAATGAAAGTCCTTGCAAGCGTAAATCGACAGATAGTTGTGAAGCGTATCTATGAGATAATATTTGTAATTGTTCATCGTATTTACCAATGTTGAGTTCAAACAGATTTTCCAGACGCGGTGTTAGTTAGTAAATGACATTTCCTTTTTCTTTTATGCTACAATTTTAATCTCCATATTTTAAATCTTTATTTTGTTGTTGTTTTATATAATTGAAGTTAGAGAATTGACGATACGATTTATTGACTTCAACAAAAAATTTAAATATTCAATCAATCAATGTAATTTCTCTAATATATTTCTCTGATATATTTTTTTCAAGTTTTTAAGTTTATAATAATAAGTACGTTCTCATAATTTGTTGAGCTATATTTCCATTGTTTTTAAAAATACTAATTTGATCAATACTTAAAAGATGATGCATATTATTAGTTTATATTATAAATTATATGAATATCTATAAACTGCAAAACAAATTTTAAAACTGATAAATGAGATTTCGCAGCATGTAATACAAATCTAGGAGGGCGTTAGCGTGAAGAACTTACTAGTTGTTTATATTTGAGAAAGTTGAAGAGGTCTTAGTTGATGTCTGTACCTTTTGGAAATATCAACATTTAACTATCCAACAGGCCAACATAATTTGTACTGCAACGTGCAATTAATACATGAAAAATGAAGCGCCACATTCAGAAAATGAAGTAGAGGAACTATGGCTAAGGTGTGGTTTTTATTATTCCAATATTAAATACATTGATTAAATCAATAAATTATTTTTGTTATTATGTAATTACCCAGTTGCATAAGTTACTTGTAAATTTATTTTAGTTTTGCTCAAAGAGTTCTAGAGTTTGCTTCAATGGCTTTTCAACGACCAGTAGCAGACTCAAAAACCATTCCACTAAAAATATTGGTGGACAAACAAAGAAACAAAGTTGTTTTTGTCGAAACAACTAAAGACTTTGTTGACACTCTCTTCAGCTTCCTCTCTCTTCCTCTTGCCACCATTGTTGGTCTTTTAGAAACAAATAACAATGACCAACAACAATCGGAGTCAACACCTTTCCTAGACAACATAAGAAATCTCTACCAATCCGTCCAAAACCTCGACTCGGACGATGTTTGGAACAACTCTCTGTGCAAACAAATATTGCTGCGTCCGAAGAATCCTTGTGAATCCCTTTGCTTGAAGTTGTTCATGAATATTGATGACACTGTTGTACTAACACCTAAGTTATTTGTTTGTGATTCTTGCTGCAAGTTCACTACTTTTTCTAATATTGATTGTACATGTGGAAAGTCACCTAATAAAGAGCCTCGGAATTTGGATATTCAGAATCAGAATAGTGCCGAAGATGGTGTAATCGTTAGAGAAAAAGGATCAATGTTTCTGATTTCAGATGATTTGAAGATTGTCTCGAGTTCCATGTTGAGTTCCTTATTGATGTTGATCAACGTGGGCTATTCAGACTTGACTCAATTAGAGGAAATCACACACAACATTGCCAAGCATGAGGTAATTAATGTTGTTTTTTGTTTGTTGAGTTTGTATCTAACATTTTTGTCTACTTAATTATTTATCATTGATTATTGATTAATCTTTCTTAAAATTTTGTACAGATAATAAACCTTCTCAAATATACATTAATATCCAACGAACCTCTCACAAATACAATCCTGGCAAGTAACTCCAAAAACAAGGACAACAAACCTAACCATTTTGCGTCCGCAGTTAGAGCAACTCCTTTTGCTAGCGACATCACCAGTAAAATAGATGTTAAAGTAATGCAAAGCAAGACTCGGAAAGATATAATTTGTGCAGAAGCCGATGGAGATTTTGTGGACTTCATTTTTAGTTTCCTTACCATGCCATTAGGGTCCATAGTAAAGCGTTTGGGAGTTAACTCTTTTTCCGGATGTGTTGGTAATTTGTATGAGAGTGTGAAGAGCTTTGATCCGACTTCAGTGTTACTCAATCCTGGCTTAGTACGACAATTTAGTTGTCCAAACCATCCTCTCAATTTTCCCAATGTACTACCACCACCCACTACATATTATTATGGTCAAAATCAAAAGAGGGCTCATTATTATGAAACAAAAGGAGTGATTTCTAAATCACATGAATCAATTCTTAATGCTAAATCCTTGATTTCACTTGACCCGTGGCCCCTCAACATGTCAAAAGAAGGTGTTGTGGGATTTGTGAAAAGAGATGCATTATATGGTGTAGGAGATGATCTTAAAGTAAAAAAAGTTTCGGCTAATTTTTGCTTTTCGTATCTGAAAGAACTGAACCTTTCTCTTGATGATCTTGAAGTGAAGCTGATAAGTATTGGTGAAGTTGAGGTAAGGTGCCTATTATTTTAGAGTAAAACACCCATTAATATATTGCTAATTTTTTCTTTTTATTATCTGATGTTATTTTAAATGTTTAACCACTTTGTTCCTCTTGTCATGTAGGCTTTGAGCCTCCTAGGAGCTTGCGTGACATCAAACTTTACCTTGACAAGTGGACTCAAAGACTTCTTAAATCCAGTGAACAACCCAGTTGGTTAATTTGATAATCTTTCAAACGAGGTTGAATTATCAATCACTTGTTGTGTTGTATTTTGATTTCCAACTCTTGTTTCTAATATCACTAGTTTGAGAGTTTCCTTTATGTTTACTAATACTTAATAAGATTACGGTATTTTCTATTTAGTTTTTATGTTCTATGGAGTTATATAAATATCTACTACAGCCAATTGGAATCTATGGAATTCAATACAGCTAGTTAAATGCAACACATATTCAATGGTTAGAATTATATCAGTTTAATTAGTCGTTTAGTCCTTTAATTTAATTTAGAATTTTAATTTAGTCTCTTAGTTAATAAACTTATTCTAATCCTTTAATTCATATTCTATTAATTAATTTAATCCACTTCGTTAAATTTTAACTTTGAATGTGCACCATAGACCCTGTTATTTTTTAAGATTTAACCAATCGATTTGATTAAAAAAGATCAAACGATTGGAGATTAAAATCTAACAATGAATCATCAACACCTAATATTTCTTTTTTACATTTCTTCATCTTCTTCACTCTTCTCTTTCTTCGTCTTCATTCTCACCTTCAACACATTCATACCAAAATCTAGAAAATTTTAAAATAAACTCTTTTTTTTTATCATACACCATCTAACAATTAAACATTGTTCTTTTTTTTTTTTGTAAGATTGAAGAAACACTTCTAAAAAAGTTTAGACTTTCAAAGAAACTCCAAAAAACCTTCACCACTGAAAAGTGAAAATCAACTTTATTTAAGTTTACACAATCTAATACAAATAATATATATTATTAAAATTTGGGTTAAATATATCTGAGGTCCTTATAAATAAGTTAACATTTAATTTTAGTGCCTCAAAAAAAATTCCTTCAAACAATAATCTTTCTAATGTTTTCTATCCACACTTTTAGTCCCTCTAATTAACTTCCACTGACAGAAGGTGACGTATGTGAAAGATTGACCGTCACTATAAATATTTTAGAATATGAAGGTTCGTGTAAAAACTCAAAAACTGTCACTAAAAATATCTTAGAAGATGAAGATTCATATCAAAACCTAGAAATCGTCACTAGAACCCATAATTTGTCACTAAAATTTTCTTAGAAGATAAAGTTTCATTGCAAAACTCAGAACCCATCACTAAAACAATCATTGAAGATGGAGATTCTTTTCAAACTCTAGAAACCGTCACTAAAACCTAGAATACGTCACTAAAACTCTTAAAAAAGATGATGATATATGTCAAAATTCCAGAAACTGTCACTAAAACTCAGAATTTGTCACTAAAACTAATAGAAGATGGAGATTCATACCAAAACCCAAAAACCTTCACTAAAACCCTTAATCCATCACTAAAACTATCTTCCTTTGATTAAAGATTCCACCATAAAAAGTTATTTCTTTAATTAAAAATTCGAATTATTGTCATGAATTTTCAAACAACTTATCATTCATATATTAGAATACTAATTTGAGATTATCAGTGTCAAAATTAAAACTAATACTCATACTTGAAAATTATATATGTTGTGAAGTTATTATTAGTGTCAAGAGTTGATAAAAGCTTCATTGCACGAAAGTTGAAGCCGACAAAAGTCTCAGGATATGCTAAAGTATGATACCCCACTATTAATCCAAAGAAAGAAACTAAATGCATCCCAATGACTTTGGTGATTCATATATTGGAGATTGGAAAACAAAATATTATTTTGAAAAATCTAATTATAGTGATAATTATTTGTTGTCCGTACGTAAAACCTTTTTTAGTCACAAAAAATCTTCCACGTGGCATGCCATGTCAGTTTCCGTTAAGAGAAGTTAACGAGAATGACTAAAAGTGTGGACGAAAAATTTTAAAGGGACTAAAATTGAATATTGGCTTATTTATAGGGACTAAACATATTTAACTCTTAAATTTTCCTCTTCATATATGAAAATGAGAGCGGTTTTAATATCTTTGAAGAACAAAAAGAATCAAAAAAGGGTTTTTAAATTTTAATTTGTTGTATATTTTAGTAAATACCTTGAACTGCTGCAAAAAGTCTAGATTTTAAGATTATGAACAAAAAGTAAAATTGTATTTGTGATTTGTTACGATCAAAAATATACTCAAATGTTTATATAAAATTTTTGGCAATTTTTTAAAGTCAGAAACTATTTTTAAACTAATTAAAATTGCTCAAATAAATGAAAAAAAATAAAAAAATAGTAGAAGTTAAAATAAAATCATAAAAAAAAGATCCAAAAGGTCAGAAATAATGGAAATGATGTTGATGATTTTTTTTAGAATTTAAAAATGTTCAAAAGTATTTTTTTAAGTAATTAAAAAACAAACCAAAATAAAGAAAAATTATAAAAAATATCAAATCTAAAAATAAAATTATGAAAAAAGAAAATTCAGACGAGAAAATTTGAAAATACTTTTGTGAATTTTTCATAATTTTTGAATCGGAAATGAATTTTCCATGATTTTTTGAAGTTTAAAACAATTTAAATATAAAAATCAGAAATAAAAAATAAAGTAAAAAATATGGACCAATGGATGAGAGTCAAAATGCGTTAGTAAGTTAATCCAATGAATCAAACGCGTTGTGCATATCATGGTCTTTAACAAAATAAGCACAGGATCATTAATTAAATCATATTTTTGAAAAATAAGTGTGACACGCTTTCATTGGTTGATAGATGACAGGTTGATCATCTTCAACCTCCAGCCAACGAAATCTGTAGATTTCAGAAAATGTAAAATTAAAAGACGAGGCCGGTACCATTCGCTTCGTCTCTTCAAGATGATTCCAATGGTACCTTCACGAAAAATTTATAAAAGATGTAGCTCATTCGTTTTAAAAGAGAAGTTTTGAAAAAGGATTTGAAATTTCATAGTCAAAACGTACTTCCAGTTGAAAACAATTGTTGCGACTGGAATCAGGATGATGAGAGCTTCATGATAGTATCAAAGTTTGAGAGAATTTGTGAAGAAATCTACCTATTGAAGTTAAGTTGCAGAACTCTGAAACTTCACTCGGCTAGCACGATTCAGGAAATTTTAAAGCTTAATTCTTCTTCTGTTAGCTTCAGTGAGGTTCAAGGAAGATGAATTGATAAAGAAAAATGATTGAGAAAGGCTGTAAGAGCAAATTCGAAGTTACAGAAAATTTTGTTCAACCGAGAGTTTGGCAGGGTGATTCTGGCTCTCTAAGCTTGAGAAAATGAATGAGGTATGACCCTCTATTTATAGGAAAGTTGATTGAATGTTCAAGCATGTGAAATGATGAAGTTTGGAGGGAAATCATGTGAACCTGATACACGAGTAAGGTATGATCTGTTTTGCATCAAAACTCATCCAATCCTTGCGTTTTAAGGCTCTAATCCACTTTGGCAAGTTAGTTCAACATGTTTAGACCAAAAACGCGTGCTAATTTGATGTTTAGAAGCCAAAACATGAATTTCAAATTCTGACTTATGAAGAAACTTCAGTTTCGAGTTACCAAATTCAAATCAATGTCATTCTCAGCTCAAAGAGTCTTAGGAAATTATTCTTAAAGCTTTAGAAAGATGAGATTACAGCTTTACAATTTGCAAAGAATGGAATCAAATGGATGCTTGAGCTGAAAATTGTAATGAGTCAAAGTTGAGAAAAAGAGGTTTACTTTCTATACTTAGAAAGTTTCTAAGTTTTTTAATCAAAAATGACTTATAATATCTTGAATCCAAACATGGCCATCCACTTGAAATTTACTCTTGACCAAAATAATGGCGTAAAGTAGATCTCCTTAATGGCATTTTGAGAATTGAACCATTTAAAAACTCTAATAATTGAGAGAGTTATGACTTGTTGAAATTGGCAAAAATTCATGAAATGACCTATAATCTTTTGCATCCTTAGGGCATCTTCCATCCATTTTCTCACTTTGCACTTAAAATAAGGGTTGAAGTCCATATATCTAAGATCATTGTGGAAAATTAATTGGCTCAAGGAGATAAAAATTGGCCAAGTTATGATCTTTTGAAGTCACATAAGGGAATTTGATGATTCATCTAGAAGACTTGTAATTTTCTTCATCATTAAGTACCTTACACACTAAATTTCCTTGAAACTTTTGAAGTGATTCGTTGCTAACCCTTTGAAGAGAATGATGTCTTTGGAATCACTCAAAAATACCAAAAGATGAGCAAGATATACCCCTTTGAAGTTCAAAATCCTAGCTCCTAGAGCAACAAAATACCTTAGAAATACTTTTACAATTTTGATCAACTTTCTTGCACAAATACTTTTGTCATATAAATAGAAGTTGTTAAGGATGATAATGAGGAACCATAGCAATTGCAACCACTTCCAAATATTGAGAATTGAGGGAAATATTCAATTATGGTCAATGAATCAAGAACTTGTCTAATTAGGTCATACTTCTTCAATCAACCCTTGTACCTTTGAACTATTTTTGACAACTTGAGGCATGATGAATCATAATAGACTTTGTCATGATATTACTTCAAAATATCTTCAACAATGAAGCTTGAATATCAATGAATCTTTGTTGAAGAAGGCATGGAAATAAACTCATGAACTTATGGATCAACTTGCTAGAATGTATTGTGCTTTCACCTATGATATCAACAATTAAGGCAAAAATACATTGTATTTATTAGTTAAAAGTTAATAAAAACATATATGAGAAAAAGATACAAATCTTGGTGCTTGGTGATTCCCCATGGGCAAAGCTAAAGATAAGGAGAAGAGACAAACCCTAGTGTGTGATCTTGTTGTGATTGAGTTGATATGATATGATAGAGGAATCTTAGGGGAAACAATTGGGGTACAACAACTGCCTTTATTTAAGTGTCTTCTATCTGGAGAGGCGAAGGTTAAAAATCTTCGTGTCGAAGCGATTGAAGATACTTAAATATAAAACAAGACCTATTTTTGGCCATAAGATGCCATGCAATGCTTATGATTATGAATGAAAATGAAAAAATCTAAAAAGGACGCAAGACCCCACTAGGGATGT